ACCCACGTTCTTCCCCTCATATTACCTCTATCTCCTTCTTTATCCATCCCTATTTTCCCCTATCACCTATCTCCTCCCAAGGCTCCCACATTTTTCCCCTCTGTAGGATTGACGCCGCCCCTCTGACACACAGATACAGTACACGCCCTTCCTCTCCTCCTCTAGGTGTCGGTGAACGGGGGTAGCAGTGTGGAGGCGGAATGTGTGGTTAAACTTGGTGCCCACGAGCTGAGGTCCTCAACCACACTCAGAGTACGACCCCGGCCTTCCTCCTACCTCTCCAACTACTTCTCTGCCGCAGGTAAGTCAGTACAGGTGATTAGTCGTGAGTATAAGGATAGGTGTACACAGGTAATGAATGATACAGGTACTGACACCATCACAACCACAACAGGGGTTACTGCAACAAATACAATTACATAAAAGGACAGGTACAGGTGTGTAAACAAACACGTATAGGTACATAATGTGGGACAGGGAAATGTACTTAAACAAACACAGGTCCATGTACACAAACAAACACAGATCCATGTACACAAACAAACACAGATCCATGTACACAAACAAACACAGATCCATGTACACAAACACAGGTCCATGTACTACACACAGTAACAGCGACCCACCACCACCACTAACTCGCTCAACAAGAACAAAGATTAACCCAACTTGTGATCCTGAGCCTCACACCTCCACCAACTAACTTAGGCTCCAGGTCAACCGGGCCCCAGTCTTAATAAGTCTCTCAGTCCTAACAGGCCCCAGTCTTAACATACACACCCTCCACCACCACCCTGTACCACATACACCCCTCCACCACACACACACCCCTCCACCACACACACACCCCTTCACCACACACCCCTCCCCAACACCACTTCACCACCACCACACACCCCTCCCAACACCCCTCCCACACCACCCCTCCCACCCACCCCACCTCCACCCACACCACCACACCCCTTCACCCACACCCCTCCTACACCTCCCCCACACACACACCCCTTCACCACACCCCTACACCACACCCCTCACACACACATATCACCACACCCCTCCTACACACCCTCCACACCCCCTCCACAACACACACCCTCTCCATCACCTCCCTCCACCACACACACCCCTCTACCCCTCCACCACACACACCCCTTCTACACCTCCACCACACCCCTCCCCACACCCCACCTCACCACACACCTCTGCCCCACCCTCTCCATCACACGCCCCTCCACCACATACCTCCTCCCTGCCACCCACCACACACACCCCCTCCCCACACCTCTCACCACACCCTCCCCACTAAGCCTCCCACCACACACACCCTCCTGCCCCACACACACCCCTCAACCACACACACACACACACACACACACACACACACACACACCACACACCACCACCACACACACACACACAACCCTTCACACACACCACCACCACACCCCTCCCCCACACATACCATCCCACACACACACACCCGCCACCACACACCCTCTCCACCACACCCCCTCACCACACACCCCTCCACCACACCCCTCTACCACACACCCCTCCACCACCCTCCTCACACACACACATCCTCTCCACCACACCTCCTCCTCCACCACACACACCCCTCCACCACACACACACCACTCTCCACCACACACATCACTCTCCACCACACACACCTCCCCCTCCACCACACGCACCACCACCACACACCACCAGCCACCCCGTGTACTTCTCCCTGTATATTAACGTCAGGATATCACTCAACTTGGTCAACTCTGTGTCATAAATTATACCGTAAGTTGGAGCGGTGTGTTGCCCTTCCTCCACCATCTTTACTCCAATAATTATTACACGACCAAGAGGAGGTGGAGGAGGAGGGGAAGGAGGAAGAGGTACAGGAGGAAGAGATACAGGAGGAAAAAGAGGTCGAAGAGGAGAAAAAGATGGAGGAGGAGGAGAAGGAATAGGAGGTAGAGGAGGAGGAAGATGAAGAGGTGGAGGAGGAGGAAGATGAAGAATTGGAAGAAGAGGAAGATGAGGAGGTGGAGGAGGTAAAAGATGAAGAGGTGGAGGAGGTAGAAAATGACGTACAGGAGGAGGAAGACTATGAGGTTAATCCACGCCTAGAAGGAGAAGGAAGAAGGAAGAGAAGGAGGAAGGAAGAAGGGGCGTGTTTTATAATGTCCACTGTGTGTATGCATGTAACACTGTATGTCTGTCCGTCTGTCTCATTGTCTCACGCTGGTCTGGGTATCTCCATATTTTTCACGAGTCTCTCTCTCTCTCTCTCTCTCTCTCTCTCTCTCTCTCTCTCTCTCTCTCTCTCTTGCGTTTGTGTTCAAATCTTACAAAAACACAATAAACATTAGCAACAAAAAATTATCTCTCAAAAATGAAAAGAACAAAGAAAAACAAAAAAAAACACAAAGAATAGCAAACAAACAGACAAACAAACAAACAGACAAACAAACAAACACACAAACAAACAAACATACATTACATT